AGTCATCTGTAGAAGTTATTTTATTTTGAAGCCCATGAACCGGCCAATCATCTTATATCGGTGAGGAAGTCAGGCAAATATGTTTCTTTCAGTTTGTTGTTCTTTTCTGTATACTATCTCATGAACTTTCTGAGTGACAAGGGATATCAATGGAAGTGATGAACCTGAAGATTTAACAAACTTCAGTTTATATTCCACAAAGCTTTCATGTTTGAGCATAGAAAACTGTCATATGTCCTACTAGATCTCATACTGATGCTTGCCACAAACCTTCAACATTCACTGAATATGATTCATTCTTTTAATAGTTTCTTGGACACATCTATGCTTTCTTCATTAAAATCCCTTCTACAGTGCTTAAATGCTATCTTGCAAGCTACAAACATTTGCAAGCTTCTCAAAATCATTCCTCAGGTTGGACATCAATTTGCTCATTCTCTTTTGTGCTACAGATTTCTTGGAACTTTCAGGTCTCAGCTATGTTACAATTGTCTTCCACTGGGATACAAATTAGGGACATCATGTACATGTTGCATTTGTGATATTTGAGATACTGATGTTGAACATATTAATTAACAAAATGCAGAAACTATTGCAATATTCACTAGAGAAAGGCATGCGTCTGATTGAAGTATACATGTCCATTTCACAATTATAACTCTTATTTTAGCTTCCTTCAATTGTGTCCATTGTTGCTGCCAGGTCTTCACTTTCAAGGTCATGTTCATCTGTGTGGATTACAAGAGGTAAGGCAGCTACTTTGGTAGGAATTATTTCCCTTTGTGATTGGTACAAATGCTCATATCTGAAGCTGTGATTCATTCTCCCACAACATGTAATCTGACTCAACATGATTTCCATTACAAAGCAGTAAACAAGCTGGAATGCTAAATAGAAGTCATTCAACCAAACCATGTGATGGCAAGGGCCCTACTTCTCAGTTCTATGCAAGTAGTGTCTTGAGATTCCAGCAAGATAAGGGTTTGAAAGGTCAAATTCAAGCCTTGTGAGAACTTGGTCTTCCATTAGTCTCTTCTACTTAATGGATCCTCTTGAAGGATGTGGTTTGTAACGATGATTTTCCACTGACTTAAGGATACTGCTGTGATGTGCAAAGAGTTCTCATCGTATTTTTTTCTTGGCCAAGTGCTTCAATGAAATCCTTCTTCTTGATGTCAAGTTTTAACTAAAATTTGGATTATGAGATTGTGGGCTAATTATAGATTATTTTCTGTAGTTGGATTTTTTTTTAGCATCTTGATTCTTAGACTTAAAAATTTATATTAAAATTATTATAGTTACGCAAATGAAATATTTAGGTTTATTTACTTTTATGCAATTGGTTTTGTTGATGGAAACATAAAACCAATAGGTAAAAAAGTAATTTTAATATTTTAGTTGGTGGTGATGGATGACATCAGTGGTGGTAGATAGTGGCGTCATTAAGGATTGCGGGTGGTTATCGTGGATGAGGAGAGCAATGGTGAAAGATAATGGTCGTTTTGTATTTGTATCGATATTGATGTAGTTGCGTAGCGATCATTTTGTCACTCTATATTTGTGTTGATATTGATATAATTGTCGAGCGATGAAAGGGTCGTTCACTATGTCGGCATCGATGTAGTTGACGAGTGATGAAAAGGCCACTCGACGTTGACACAAATGCAAAATAGTGTCGCTTTGCATCTGTGTCAACACCGAGTGGCTCTTTCGTCACTCGGCAACTATTTCGATGCTGACGTAGTGAGCGGCCCTTTCATCACTTGACAACTATATCAACATTGATGTAGATGTAGAGCGACGAAAGGGTCACTCACTGCATCGATGCCGACATAGTGAGCGACTCTTTTGTCGCTTTGCATCACTTTGCATTTGCGTTGGTGTCGATACATTTGTCTAGCGATGAAAGGGTCGCCAATGTAGATGTTAAGTAGCTTTTTTATTGCTCGACAATTGCATCGACATCGACGCAGTGAGTAGCCCTTTCGCTGCTTAGCAATTGCATCGGCACTGATGTAGATACAGAGCGATGAAAGAGGCGCTTGACATATGCTCTAGTGTTGATGTCAATGTAGATATCGAGTGACCCTCCTCTTTTGCCACCAGTCTCCTCATCCACAATAGCCACTTGGGGCCTTAGTGATGTCATCGTCCGCTATCACTAATGTCGTTTGTTATCATCAATTGGAATGTTAAAATTATTTTTTTACCTAATATTTTCATATTTTCGTTAGTAAAACTGATGACGTTAGGGTAAATGAACCTAAATGTTTCACTTTTATAACCATAAGGATTTCAATATAAATTTTTTAAGTCTTGGGTTCAGGATGCTAAGGAGGTCTAATAAAAAAGGATGATACATAATTAGCCTCAATATTGCTATAATTTAAGCCGGAGATAAGGAGCTGACCTAGGCCTTCTTTTCATATTCTGTTATATGCATGGTTTGTATGTAGAGAATTGTCGAAACATTTATAGGAAAATATGATATTTTCCTATAATTATCAAAAACTAAGGAGAAATCTTGTTAATGATAATAGACTTAGAGAGAAGAAATTGTTCTTGTTGTCTCTTTCACAATTTTGAAATTTCATGCTCTTATGGAATGAAAACTATTGGATATAAAAACTATAATTTATATCTATTTTGAAGGATTACTTTCTAGTTGAAACCTACCAGAAAACCAAAAAGAAAAAATATTTCGCTCAAGAACTAAATAATACTAGCTTTGACACAATGATGATTATCTTATACTACCTCATAAATGTCTTGTTCAAGCAAGGATGATTATGTAAACAATCAGAATATAACCAACAATCTTGTAAATTTTCACATGTTTAAAGAAAAAAAAATTGTTCCAAGTTATGTGATTAACATTTTCTTGTTTGTATATATACATAACTGGTAATTAATATTTTTTAACATAGATAAGTAATGGTTTGACTCTCTCTTCTCCTTTCTAGAGTGAGAAGCTCTAGACTTATAGTTTCATCTTTAAAAGGGGTAATTGTAGTCGCCTCCCCCTTTGTGAGGCCTTTATTCACTACTCATTCAATTCCTCTTGTGAAGCTCCTTAATCTCTCTCGTTAGTAGGCTATCTCTCTTTTATTTGGTTTGCTTCTCTCATCATCTACCTTTGAATGCATTAGATTGATGTTAGAGGATCATGTTATCCTTGTATCAAGAATGGCATAAGCCATGAGCTTTCAATCTTATTGGCAAATCTTTTAGGAGCAAAGAGAAGGTAATTAGGGCTATTATTAGTTGTCATTACATTTCTCTTCCCTGCCTTGTGGTGGACATGGCAAGGGTTATTTCTTATTTTGTTTCTACTTGGAGGATGAAACCCTTTGTATCTTGATCAAGGGGTTATGCTCCATCTAAGGTGACTTAATTGGAATCCGTAGTTCCAGTTGAGTCCTTTGACCTCTATGCAATAAGTTCAATTTTCTGATCTACTCTTATGGGTATTGAACCAAAGAAGTTATTAACCATATTGTATCTATCATAAAATGTATTCTCAAAATCGATGATAGAAAGGAAAAGACGTTAGGAAAAAATAGAAGATAAGAAGAATTATTAAAGAAGCTTTAGCTTGAATACATTAACATGTCCTTCTCTTATTTATACAGATTAGGAAGGAGGATTGCTCCTATCAAGGGAGGCTTCGTGAGTAGAGCAAGAGTAGATCGCTGTTGCTGCGGTTTCTATTGCTATTGCTGTGACTACGATGGCTACTGCAGTAGAGGAGAAAGCTACTGCAGTAGTATCAAGGAGGTGAGAGGTGGGTGACTGCGGTGGCTTGAGTTTGTGCACCCAGTGGCAATCCACACGGTGCTGTGCGTGGCAAGGCTGTACGTATACGCGAAGGAGAGCGCACCGGACCGTTGAGTCCCGGCCTGCAAACTGTTAAGGGCACAGGGGGATTGGCCGCGGAGCCTCTTAAGAATATGGCTGCAGCGACGTTTGGCCGCGGAGCCTCTTAAGAATATGGCTGCAGCGACGTTATTCAAGAAAAATTATTGAAGAAATTTTATTGAAGAAACTTTATTGAAGAAGCTTTAGCTTGAATACATTAAGCTGTCCCTCTCCTATTTATATAGATTAGGAGGGAAGATTTTTTTCAACAGAATAAAGGATTTTCCTCAACACAGTAGAGAGATTTCCTCGTATAATTTAGAAAATCTTATCTGCTACTATCAAAAGGGACAATATTAATAATCTCAAATATTGTATGTACTATATAGTATCTTTGTAGACTAAGTTGTATTTGTCCTAGTCAATCAAGCATCCTCCGTGAATTGTTCCTAATAGGTTAAGGATCAGGTTCTTTGACCATTAGAGATAGAACGAGTCCATTTTACACGTAGGTTTAGCTATCTATTCCATCATTACTTATGCAATACACGCATTACAGAAGAAGTTCTATCAGTTGACTTATTATATACCGTTCCCTATCTTTGATTTGAACATATTCTAAAGGCTATTTATTTCTGCAATAAGTGCAGCCTACCAATTGCTCAATTGAGAACAACCTGAGACTGCCATGTACGCTTGCCATGCATGCATGTATGGAGAATAAAAATCTTTAGATGGACTGAGCTGCATAAATAAATGTATACGTTGCACCCTCACATAGATGACTGAAATATTAAAACCAGATGACAAATGAGTGTTGTAATCTATTGATCTCTCGCTTCTACAAGCATGGTAGGTAGGTTCAAGTAGTTCATTATCAGACATAAAGTTATGAGTGATGGAACCATCGGCAGAGTTATGAGTGCGATCCTAATGATTTTGAAACTAAGAATCCAATACAAATGATCAGAAGTCGGGTCATTCCTCCTATATGACAGATCTAATAAAACCAATAAGAAATTAGAGGGCAGAGAAGTCAACAAAATCATGATGTCTGGGATGGTGGCTGCAACTCTCAACACCCTATCAACTTTTCTAAAAGTAACACAGAGATCCGAAGTCGGGTCATTAGTTGCGTGAGTTCTGAGCAAAGACTTGGTTGTGGAGAGGTCATTATAGACCCCGGCAATGGGAAGAACAGAAGCATAATTAAACTGCCTCCATGGAGGGTAGCAAGCAAACAACTTTGAGGTCTGCAGAGAATCTCAGCCTCCCCTCAGTATGAAAACTCTCTCTCTCTCAATTCATAGATATATACAAATTATACTTTCTCATGTTATAATCTTCATCAATCTCAGCCAGCAGACTGCAGTCGTTTGCCTTTATTATAAGCAACTTTCTATGGCTGGATACAAAGCATTTATGAAGTGCTGGATCAACCAGAGACCCATTTCTAAGCCTTTAGTGTGCTTGTTTTACTGTGTGTTTAAAGTGAGATTTTATATACACTTCTCTTGCAGATTTTATTGGATGCATCAATCTTTCAAATTAAGTACCTCTGGCCTGCCAAAGTACAACACTGCTCATTAGGAATTCGTTGGTCAGGAATCTAGAATTACAAAATATGATCAATAGCAAGCAGTAGATTTGACACCAATCTTTGATGTTGTTTTGAAATTTCCAAACAAAGTTTAGGCTGGGCAGGTAAACAAAAGATAGTGAAATTTGTCCGAGTTTTTGTAGATCCAACTCATCATGCAACAAAAGAACCAACCATCCAAAACTCCCTTATGATTTTATGTACTTGAAATAATGCAAAAAATGACACATTTTTGTCAAAGAAGAATTCATGTTACAGGTAACATGTCTGTATGTGACTATGTGTACAGTGAAAGTTCGGAATAGGTTGGTTAGATAGCATGAACCATTTGATTTGAAGGAAGCTAGTGTGTTGTTTAGGTCTAATCTCTTTGTGAAACTTGAATGCTTAATATGCTTGATTATCAATGTTTCTTTTCAGTGATTCAAACACGATTACTAGGTCATATGATTCATTTGGTAGATCACATCAGACCATTATTTTACTTGATTTTCTGTGTGGAAAAATGTGTTTCTGGTTCCTGTCTCAAGTTTTTTTTGTCTCTCTCCATATGCATTCATCCACAGATATGGTTGATCCAGTTTTTATGTGTATTTGTCAGGATGCTCTTTTTCAATTTTGTGATGCATAATTTTATATAATTGTAATGTTAGAACATTTACGGATTTTAAACTTGGGTTGATCTCTTTGGGGGATCGGCTTCCTTAGAACTCTAGGGCGTTCCTTCCTCCAGATTGCTGTTCTTGCTAAAAAGATTTATTTATTTCTTGTGAAAAGAGGATGAATACATGACTATTTATAGAGTTTCTAAACCTCAATTCTTAATATAACTCATACTCAAAACTCCTACTTCTAACTAACTCCTAATGCTTGTATAAGAAGCAACATCCAAACTAATCGCATCCTTAGCCGGCTTCTTCACCTAGGCTAGATAGATTTTATATGAATACCTCTTTCAATGAAACTTAATTAGGTTTCTCCTAACTAAAGTTCTAACGTAAGCCTAATTCACAAGTTATATGGTTGTCATCCTAGTTAAAAATAAAACTAAAAGGAGAAAAAGATGAAAAATTGTTGACCTTGTTGAGCAACAATAATATTCAGTTTACTTTGTCAGAATATTCACATAAAACCTATCTTCGGTACTTTGTAGTCTATGATAATGGAATGATAGAATCAAAAAGCCGCAATCAGCAAAGTGGTAGATGTCACACAACTTGCCATGCATTTGATATACGATCCATGCTAAATTGAATAACACTGGCGAACTCAGTCCTTTAATGAAGCACTGCATTTGGACACTTTGGCACCCCAGCTGCAGCTAATATATGCTGCATCCACGTAGTTTTCTTGACTCGAAAAGAGTTGCCATATATTGTAGGTCCAAATGGTTGTGATGAATGCCAGTGCGGACTGCAATCACTGCAGGGAAAGGGTCTCCAAGGTTGTCTCCAAGATGAACTGTAAGAATTCAAGCAAATAAATGGAGGAAATACTTCATATATGTTCTTTTTCTATCAGCAAATTGTGAGGTTTTCCTTTTCTTCATACTTCTGAAGTCATTTGTAGCAGGACTGCTGGATTACACGTTCGACTTGCGCAACAAAGAGGTGACAGTGACGGGGGTGGTTGTGGACACCAGAAACTGCAAGCAAGCCAAAGGATCACTGCTTACCAAGATAAAAAGATATCTTCATGCTCATTGGCCCTCTTTAGACTGATCTGTTCTGCTGTGTTTGAAGTCTTCCACAATGCGTAATCCCACTCCATTTAAAGCCTACTATTAGGAATTGGGATCATGGGCTGATTTCATATATAAATCTTATGTAAAATCGTATATATACTATAAAAAAAAGATTATGATAAGATTACAGTCATTGTAACTTTTCATTTTATGGATAAAATCCATTCATGTTACCATGTCAAAAAGAATGTGAAAAAGATTTACTTTTATTTATTTTTAGATATTTTATTAAAATTTAAAATTTTAAAGATAAAATCAATTGATATATTTGATAAACTAATATATTGTTAAGATAAGAGACGCAGAATGTACTTTAACCAAAACTTGAACTGTTGAAGGATCATATGCAATTCAAAAGTTGTGTCAAAATATTATAACTATATAAATCGAACGTTGAGGTAGAATATTGATCGACATGCTAGAGATTAGACTTTAAGCTAAAAATTCAAGTATCACGTTGGAAAATTAGATTTTGTGATGAAGTCGACAAATCGAAGGATTAGGCAATGTGTTGGAGGATATGATGATATATCGAAGATTCAAACAAAATATCAAAAATTCGAATGACATGATGAATCAATCTACTTGGACTAGGTCTCATTTAAGTATTTTTATCCAATAGCTAAATAAAAATTGTTCATGTTTGCACATTTTAATTAATTATTCTTAACCTATTGGATTGCACAATAGCAATGAACAAATGACTAACGAAATGAGATGGCTTACTCGAGGCCCTAATAATGTGGGAAGAGAATTTTAATGCTTCATTTTTCATTAGTGTTCGGTTCCAAACAAGAGACCATGAAAAGTATAAATTAACTCAAAGTAGCGGTATTGTCAACATCATAAAGATTTCAAGCTATGCAAGCATAAGAGATAAAAAATCTACACTAGATAGTAGAATTGAACTATTATTATCAATTCAAAGTGGCTCTCTTCAAATGTTATTGGGTTGATATTGAACATGGAACTAGTAATTTTTTAAAAATTAATACACACTGAAAAAACAATTTAGTGATGATTCATTTGTACTAGTCTCCTAAGTTTAACAAGTGTTTTATATTTAAGATGTATTAGAGGGAAATTGATGGGTACCTATCAAGACAAAGCTAAGGAATTTGATTGACCTAGGAATTAGATGAGATTGAGCAATGTAAATATCCTTGTGGACTCAATATTGGATGCCACCATCACAGACACTAAGATGATTTTAGTTTAATAAGAGATGCAATATTAGTGCTTGACACGATATAGAAGAATCATATAAATAATTCTGTTGAAGATAACAATAGTGATGTTGAACATAATATGTGAATTTATGACATACATTGGCTTGTGCTTAATTTGTAATTATCTGTTTTCTATGTTTTCATGCATTACAGTCCCAAGCATTAATTTTGGTAATTATCATATTAGATGGTGAATGCTATTTAGTTTTTTATATTGTTCATGTATCATTTCTTTATAATTTATTAGTTTATAATCTTTGTCACACGGTTTTTCACAAATACTATTGGTGTTTATCAATTCAATTTAATTATTGACTTCATAGGAGAAGACTATATATGTGCGGTTACGATGAAGACAAGATTACAATCTCATGTTCAAGCTCAAATAAAGAATATATTAGAGAATACACAAATAAATTCGAGCGTTGAGGAAAGACATTCCTAAGGGGATGATTTTGAAATGACTATAGTCTATTAACTATTATATTATATTCAAATGAGTGTCTGCCTTTTTGTTATGATAAATTATATAAAAAAAAGGAATAAATGATTCTGCCTTTTCGTTCAGGAAAGACACTCACTTAGCTAATGTATGAAATTTACCATAAGGAATGTATCGTAGTTCAATTAGATATAAATTGTTAGATTATGTAATTCTTTGTAATTGGATAAGATATATAATAGAATTAATTGGATTATGATGATAGATATTAGTGAATATAAAAAAGTCTATATTATTATAGAATTCCTTAGGGGATGTTCTTGATAGGAGAAACTTTCCTAATAACTTATATATATTATATAGGATGTAATAATAATGGTCATACGAAACGATAAGAAGAGAGAAGAAGAAACGTCTAGTTATCCTTACATATCAACGTCACTGTGATATTTAGATTCGAAAGATAGTACATTTACAAATCAGATAAAGATCTTTTTTAGATGACATCAAAAGATACATATTGTGAATATGATCTTAATGTTATTTAATTTTAATCATGAAAATTTTCTATATAACTTATAGCATATTATAGATTTTATACTTACAATACTAATTATAGATCTATTAACTGATATTATAACAAGTGTCTGATTCTATATATCTTTTTATTGTGATAAATTGTACAGGGAAAAAAAGAACGAGAGGATGCATTGGCTTAGTTAACATGAAGAGTTTACCACCTAGGAAAGAACTTTATTAGGTAAATTAAATGTAGAGATGGCACATATCAATTAATTCAAAATGGAAGAATCGAAAAAGTGACTTAAAATTCATTTATTATGATAGCTCGTTGAAGTCTATATCTTATCATTTAAAAAATATTTTTTATAGAATTAATAAAAACCAATGGGCTAGTCTTATTACTCATTGAAACTTAGAGGAATGACAAATATATAATACTCTTGAATTTATTTCAATCAAATATTTCAGCATCATTTTGTGTATGCAAATATCAATTTTTTGTATTGTAATTTTTATATTAATTTTATGGTATTTAAAATATTTTTTTAGAGCCTTAGTAAGAGAAATAAGGTTAATAGATCAAAACAAAAAATATCACATACTTTAGGGAAGAAAAGTTATACTAGGTTGATTGATGAAAAGGTAAGGAAATTTTTTTATAAATATTTGATATATTTTATATTTATTAATAATATTATATTTTTATGTTTTGTTACAAAGCCAAGATAGGGAAGAAGTTATTTAAAGATGATATTTTTATCATTAATCATGAAAGAAAAATGATAAAATGCCAATAGATGAGGATGAAGCAAGAGTAATTGTACGTATCACTCAATCATTCCATTACTTTTATGGTTCTTATTATTATTTTTGATTTTTTATTGATAATATGTTTGTATTTATTATAGAAACAAATGAAGAATCTTAGGACACATCTTGAACTCATAGCAATTGATATTCCATTAAGTGAAGATATTATTTCTCAAGTATTAGGATTAGAGAAATCAGGATATATGTGATGTTATGGCATAAGACCATCTCATTCAAATTTTGCAGTATCCAAATCTCATCGTTTAAGATTTATGACTACATAACTTGAGAAGGAGAAAGATGAAAAAAATTGACATCAAAGAAAAGCTTGAAAAAATACTCAAGATATGAAAGAAATGTGAGTTCAATTGTAAATACTTGTGGATGAAAGTGCATCTCGAAACGATAATATATGTAAATTTTAAAAACTTCTTTTATTATATGATTTTTTATTTAAATCTATGTATCTAATTATTATTATTCACTCCATTCATGCGTTGACTAGGAAGTATATTTTTTGTACTTTTTTTGATATTATGATACTCAAAACCTACAAAAGAATAATAGTTCTTTATTTGCTTTTGTATATGAAATTGGATGTACTTGAATATTGGTACTATGATTTATATATAAATTGATATAGTTGATGGAAGAATATTATCTTTCTTTTGTGAATTGTGAGCTACTATTGTGGCTATCCTTCATTTGATAAAAGTATCTATTTATGTAATTGAATAATAGCATAATGTAAAAATATCCTTACATTATTATTCTTTGAGTATGGAGGGATACAAAAAGTTTTTGCAATTTTTACAAGAGTATGAGCTTCAAGGTTAGATTGTCAATTGGTATAAATATCATTGTAAATATTATGTAGGAACCAAGGTATTAGTTTATTGTAGTTAAGTATTTAAATCATTTCAAGTGCATATAATATTTTTGCTTCATTGTATAGCCTATCTTATCTTTGTATAGCATATAAGGGGTTGGAGGCAGGTTGAGTTTTTTTATCCAAGGAAGATGATAATATCTATAATTCTCGAAACAAAAGTCGATACTTACAATAAAGGAGTCATTAGTAAATGAATCATCATAAATTAATAATGGCATTGGCTATAAGATCATGAAAAGATGGAGGAAGAACTTGAGAAATCTTAACATAGGGTTTCTATTAGTATAGGGTTAAAACCTTCAACCTTCAATCTTAATATAGAGAACTTATTATTTACATGACTTTCTTCTTTTAGTGGAGCACCATTTTATAATTCATGTATGTAGTTAAGATAAAATTTATATTTAATTATATCAAATCTTAAAGATCTCTTGCGAAATGATAAGAGAAAAAAAATATGGTTAAATGAGTTTTAACCCCCTCTATAAATCATAATAATGTGAGTAAATGATTTCATAATAATTTTTACAAGAAAATTAGATACTCGAACAGATATGAGTAAATGATTCTATAATAATTTTTATTAGAAAATTTTAACTTTCGAAAGAATATTTAGACTCCATACAAACTTTCAACATTCTCAATAAGTAATTTAATCATTTTACCTTTTCCTTATCTGCTCGTAAATATTTTTAAAAATAACAAATCTAGAAGGGTGTAAGCTTCATAAATGAATACTATTATATTTAATTAAATGTGGATAAAAATAAATATTAGATTTTTGTCGAATGTACATTATATATATATATATATATATATATATATATATTACTTTGTTAGAATAAAACTTTGTTGCTCTTATGTTTATTGTCCATATATATATTTTTTGGTAAGTTGTTTATTGTCCATATATGACTACAATTGATTGCAATTCACTTATTCAATTATTTGGACATTTTACTCATTCGAGATTCTATTAAGAGAGTAAATCATAGAGGTTGCAATTGGAGACTACTTACCCCTACGTATGGTCTTTATGATAAATTAAAATTGAAGTATCTCGAATATTAAATATCTATTATATACCTAACCCCATAGAAAGATCATTAACTTTTAACTCATCATCTTCATTATATGAAACCAAAGCATATATATATATATATATATATATATATATATATATATATATATATATATATATATATATATATATATATATATAT